ATGTGTGTATTTACTGTCACTTTGTTTTATGATTACTTTTGTAGTTCCTTTCTTCTCTTGCTCTTTTCTTTCATGAGTAATTTGCTTTAGTGAAATACTCCTTACTTTTTTTTTTGAATACCTATTTTTTGATTTGTGGTTACCATTTAGTTTATCTATAACAACTTTTGCATACAGCAGTCTATATTAAGCTAATGCTTAATTTTGAAGTCATTGTTTACTCCTCTTCCCTCCACATTTCAGATATTTGGAATCGTATTTTATATCTTTTAAAAAGATTTTTATTTATTAGAGAGAGGGAGTGCACACTGGTGGGGGGAGAGGGGAGAGTGAAAAGCAGACTCCCTGCTAAGCAGAGAGCCTGACCTGGGGCTTGATCTCAGGATCCTGAGATCATGACCTGAGCTGAAGGCAGATGCTTAACTGCCTGAGTCACCCTGGTGCTCCATATTTTATATCCTTTTAGTTTGTGCTTCTCTTGATTTTTAGACATACTTGTTTTTGCATTTGTGCTTCCTATTTTTCTTAACGCTTACGTATGGTTTTTGTTTTCTACTCATGAATTCCCCCTAAGATTTCTTATAGGGCTGGTTTAGTGGTCATGAGTTCATTTAACTTTTTTTTTTTTTTTTTTGAGAAACTCTTCCTATTCTGAATGATGGCCTTGCTGGTTAGAGTATTCTGGGTTGCAGGTTCTTCTCTTTTAGCACTTCTTTGTCACTTTCTTCTGGCCTACAAAATTTCTGCTAAAATCAGCTCATAGCCTTATGGGATTTCCTTTGTTTGTAAACATCTTTTCTCTTACAACTTTTCAAGTTCTTTATCACTGTCTTTGCCATTTTAATTATGTGTCTTGGTGTGGATTTCCTTGGGTTGAATTTGTTAGGGGGAATCTCTCTGCCTCCTGAATCTAGATCTCTTTCCCTCCCGATTTGGAAAGTTTTCAGCTTTTGTTTCTTCAAATACATTTTCTGCCCCACTTCCTCTTTTTCTGGGATCTCTATAATGCAAATGTTATTAGGCTTGATGGTATCACTGAATTCTCTTAAGTCTATTCTCATTATGTGGCATTTGTCTCTCATTTAGCTTGATTGCTTTCCATTACTGGATCCTCCAGGTCATATATACATAGCTTACTACTTGTCCCAGCTATTGTATTTTTAATTTCATGTATTATCTCTGGTATGTTATTTTTCTCTTTGTCAAGGGTCTCAGATTTCCTTTACACTTTGCTGAAGTCCAGTGACTATCTTTATGAACATTAAATTCTCTATCAGGCATATTACTTACTTCAGTTTTGGTTAGATCTCCTGCTGTGATTTTGTCCTATTCTTTTATCTGGGACATATTTCTTGGTCTCATTCTACCATTCTGTTTCTGTGTTAGCAAAGTCAGCTACATTTTATGCTCTTGAAAGTACTGGGTTTATGAAGAGGGCCCCACAGTGCAATGTCCCCTGCTCACCATAAGCTGGCAATTCAGAGAAGTCTCTTATATGTTGCTTGCATCCGGGTATCGTGTCTGGGTCATTTTTTCTTTCAGTCCTGACTCTGCCAGTTGTGAGCTGTGCTTGCTCTATGTGGTGCGAAACCCAGGCAGGCTGGCTCTGAGGAAGAATGGCCACGGGAAGGCTTGAAAGCAGGGTGGCAGTGTTATCTAAATTTGTGTAGAACTGCTAGTCTCAGGAAGAATCCTACAAAGTCTGGGGGTGGCCATCAAGGGCATGGTGTATGACGGCTGTGTAGCAGCTGTGGGCACAGTAATCTGTGTCTGCAGTGGCTGGGCAGGGTTGTGTGTGGTGGTAACAAAATCCGTGCTGAGCCCGGCAGTCTCAGCAGGCCTGACGTGTTTGTGGTGGTGGGGCGCAGGGGTGGGGAAGTCCTCACGAGAACTTGTGGGCAGGGCACATGGCCAGCAGGTTAGATTGCAAGTGTCTGTGTAGCACCACCTCTGCCAAGAAGCTTTGTACTTATGCCTGGGGGGCTGGGGAGGAAAATGGCACCTGCCAACTTCTTTGTTCCTGGAGAAGTTCCTCAACATACTCCAAAATCTGTATAAACAGGTTTTCTTCGTTTTGTTCCAGGCATTGCACAAACTGTGGGGCCTCTCTGTGGTGCCTCTCTGCAAGCTGCTAAGCGTGGGCACCCAGCTACCATTTGCCTTCCCTGGCCCAGTGCTGAGTCAGCTGACTTAAAGCTCCAGGTCCTGCTGGTTATACAAACTCCTAGAAACCATCCCCTTTGGTTTTCAAAGCCAGTCACGGGGATTCTTTTTCCCCACGTGGGCATCCTGGTCCTTCTCCTGCCTGTATATGCAGCTCCCTGTCTCCTGCAGGCAGCCCCCGACCTGTTTCCGCCTTTCCTAACCTCTCAGATGTGGTTTCTTCTCTACATTTAGTTGTGGAATATGTTCTTCCAGTCTTTAGATTGCTCTTCTGTTTACTGAGATGTGAGTGGTGTGCCTGGTTGTAAACGTGGGAGAGGGTGAGCCTAGAGTCCTACTCTATCTCTGCTTAGTGATTAGGTAACTCTTAACGTAGCTTTCATTTTTGTTTCCTATACCTCCTTAATACCTTAAATCTATTATCATATCCTGCTCTTATTTCCTTAGATGTCTATTAGTTTCAAATACTAATGGTTTTAACACTAACCGCACATCTGAAGTACCAAAAAATACTGACACCCAGGCCTCATCTGACTAATAAAATCAGTCTGTGGGTGTGGATGCCAAATCATCAGCATGTGTAGTATCTTCGAGGTAATTCAAATGTAGAGTTGAGGACCACTGAAGCAGAATGTGCGTTAAGTGGTTCTCAACTGGGGATAGGCTTGTTGCAATAAATTTAGGACACTTTGTGATGCTACAAAACATCATAAATTGCACAGGACACCTCCTTCAACAATTACCTGGTTCAAAATGTCCGTACGGGAGGCATACAGAAATCTTGCTTTGGAGCAACATGAGAACCAGTTATAAGAGAAGGAAATAGAATTGGAACTAAAAGCAGAATTCTGTTGAAATTTAAGGATTATATTGATGTTCCAAATGACAGAAGTCCAAAAAAAGTGGAAGCTTTACACTTGAAGTCAGAGAGCTGCTTTTTGAAGTGTAGTATCTATAATTGAATTTTTTTGGATAAGTTTCAGTACATTTTCAAAGAAATTCGAAGCATGCAGAGTTCAAGAGAATGAAATTCGAAGTTTATCTATGAAATGTGGTAGCAGTATTAGTTAACCTGAAAATCCTTGCAGTTTAAATTCTGATTTTTTTATATTTTTAGTTTATCACTTAATAAACTTTGACAATGATCGGAGCCAATAAAAAACAAACAAACAACTACATCTATACACACTGGAATCAAACCAAATTCCAGTGCTGGTCTTAACACTAGTTGTATAACCTAATGCGTGCTCTTAGATATTTCTCATTTTGCCTATGAGGGATGTAGGTCAAATGACCTGAACAATCCCTTCCAACAGATTTCTAAGTTCTTGCCAAAATACAAATTTGACAACAAAACCTATTTCTCAGTGACAGGTTGAAATTAATTTCAATGGCTCAACCTTATTTTAAAAGGAAGCAGATTTATGTTTAAGATGGACAATTTTATATAGGATTTCTTTATGGTGTCCTGAATAAGTAGACATGATTAAACTGATACCTGTGGTTTTCTTACTGTCATACATAACAGTCAACTACTTTCTTACATCTATTAGTAAGATCCCTTGGATTATATTTCCCGAACCTGAATCTTGCCATCACATTTCATAAACAATATTACAACTGGCAGTTACTGTTTCTCATGTTGTTTCTGGAAATTCTGTTAGCAAGCTAAAAGGAGCCCTGCTACCTCGTACCCTAGCCCTTATATGATAATACACAGCCATAGCCATTTTGGGGACTAAGTGCCCTTTTCAACCGGTAGATGGCACTTCCGATGTTAAAACCAATGTTGAAATTTCAAGGGAATATGGCTCAAACAATGGTACAAAGAAGAGAATGCCTGAATAATCAATATGCACAGCAGAAACAATGAGAGAGCTGCAAGGCCACAGACCAAATAATTCCTTATGTGTGAGCTGTCCTCTGCATTGTAGGAGGCTTAACAGTATCCCTGGCCTCTACCTGCTAGAACCCCCTTCACTCTGTCCCAAGTTTTCCTGTGGGGCCACTGAGAAGGCAAAAGCTATGCAAACAGATTTATAATTATGCACAGTAAATGAACATACTATATGTGGTTTCACATAGCATCAAGTATCAAAACAGACAAAACAACTCATGCAGCAGGCAATCAGGGTAGTGGTTACCCTTGGGAGGGCCAAGTGAAGGAAGTGCCAGTAATGTTCTGTCTTGGTCTGGGTGCTGCTTATACTTATGATAGCTGCAAGGGACAAGTGAAGGAAGAGCCAGTAATGTTGTCTTGATCTGGGTGCTGCTTATACTTATGATAGCTGCACTTTTCCACATGTATACCCTATATTGCCTTATATTTTTCATAATGAATGAAAACTCTGCAGCCCTTACTCCTTGAATCATTAAGCAACACTTAGCTACATGTTAAGTTAACTAAGCAGGATTTTATATTAAGTTTATTATCTCCATGTGTTCCTTTAAAAAGTCAATTGAAAAATACACAAAAAATCATTTTCTTAATTCATTTGGTAGAAGTTACTTGTTCTTCTGAGATTCCTACGGTTCTTTTTAAGTTTAAATTGTCACAAAGAGGCATTTCTGTAAAGTATCATAATTTCTATCTCTTGCTAAAATGGAAAATAGAATTTAGCAGCTGAGGTACTGTTTTGTCAAAATAAACCACATTTAAAGGGTGAGAGTCATACACTTTCATATATAAAGATGTAGTATTATCCTTATTTTCTGACACAAGGTTACTTCAAAGTAAAACTCTTAGCAGTTTTTCTAGAATTCTTGATTGCATTTATTTTAAAAATGCAAAACTACAAAATTAATTTTTTTAAAAAATATAGCAATGAAAAAACAGATAACCAAATGTGTGATTGATTTATTTTTAGAGAAAAATAAAACTCAAGTTTTTCCAATAAAGGGGAGAAATAACAATATGAGATCATGTCCTGGTTACATGTTAACGATGTGGATGTTATCAACATGTATTCAACGATAGTATGAACAAACATTTGAGATTTAAAAATTATACCATTTGCCAATGCTGTAAATTCATAAATGTTGAAATAAATACCCAGAAATAAGTAATTTTTAAAAATTGAAGCTTTTGACAGTGTTTATAGATCAACCCAAATGGTACATATCAATAGTACAGCCAATAAATTGACATTACTGTTGGTTTCCACCTAATTTCTTCATAATATGGCTGTCTGGTGTTGCATTAGTGAAGATACTTCCTACAACCACATGGGTACCCCAGAGCCTATGACGAATCACTTTACAGCAGCCAAGATCATCCACAGAGAATCCTAAATGTCGATAGCGTTCATCTGTTTCAAAAAGAGTGTTGTTTGTATATGGTCCAAAAAACTGGAGGAAATAAAAGTTCTATTCATTAGCAAGAAAGACAATGATGAACACATACCTATTTTAATACTCCAAATATTAAAAGTGTGACCAAACACTTCCTCTTCATCCAAATTACATGTTATCTAAAACACAATCTTTAAGTTTTTCATTTCTCGTCTATACTACATGTGTTACTTGATTTTGAAAAGAAATAATATATATTCCTAGCTTAAGATATAAAACATTTCATAATTATTTATTACTGAAAGCTATACCCAGAATTTAAATATGACAACTGTGGTTCTTCCTGAAGTTTTCTCCCTTCAACTATGATTGCTGATTTGTAACTACCTATTTCATTAATGTAATAGTATTTACTAGTGAGGATGAAAAATAATAAAGACAGAAAAACTTAACTATAAGTGATGATGGTACCTCAAAGATTGTCAATTAAGATTTAAAAAAATGTCTTAAATGATCTATTTCTACCAAAGTTGTAAACCATTTTATAATTAAAAAACAAACAAACACTCCCACTTCAAATTAATCTGGCTTTCAAAATGTAATTACTCACTGCCAAACCAGATGATGGGTCAATAAAGTCAGCCCAATAGCCTTCAGCTCGAAGAGCATAGCAAATTTCCTTAGCGCCATTAATGAACTGCATAGAAAAAGACACAAATATCCTGGATAGCATCCTTACAAATTATTTTTCAACAAAATTTTAAGTACCTTTTGCTTCAGACAGTTCAATAAGAAAATATAAGTTAGATATAACGCCATATTTTTACCAGTCCAAAAAATTAATGGTTCATTTAACACTTTCATTTCCTTCAAAAAGTCTGTTTTTCTTCTAAATTTTTAGGAACAATTTCTAATCAGTTCTGTGCTACTGATTCCTGAATGTCATGAATTAGAAAATATAGCTGCCATTTTTATATTATAAAAATATGAATATTTTGTTTTTCCTTTCTTACCCTAATGAAGATATAAACCATTCATTTTAATGTTTAAAAACTTACATGTTACAAAGACACATTTATCCATACTCAGTCATACATAATTTTCACTATATTCTTTGTGTATTATTATAGACCATGTAGCTCTATCACCTATTCAAAATCTTGGTTTTGCCATCCTACTCTAATTCCTATGATGTCTTTATTAGCTTTATCAGAAGTGTAAGCAGTGAAAAAGACAGTAACAAATATTAGGACCAGATTAGAGTGTTAAAAAAAGGGGGGTGGGGGACAAACCATAAATGTTTAAAACCAAGGGCACAGTTCCACTTCTGGCCATAATAGAATAGGGGCTGTAATACTAAAACCTATGAGGCAACGGTTTTAATCGTGGTCAGACAAAACTGTAATCTTGGACAGAAAGAAGGGCAACAAATTACATGATCCTCATGTCTGTTTGGAACACTGTCTTCCAAGCTAAGGAGGTAGAAAGCAAGAGTTCTGGAATGTTGAAGCATCTGGAATTTGTGGGTTCGACTCACAAGGCACGATTCCTTGAGGAATCTGCCTCACAGACTGTGCCAACTGGCACCTGAGAGCTCAATGGTGTTACCATGGGTCAGTGCAGTGCTAGGTAATATGATTTCTGGCCCACACAGAGTACTAAGACCTCACTGAGCACATCCAGCTGAGATCCCCCAAATGTTTAAGCCTGAGGAAGATGGGCCATATCCTAAAAGAAGAGGTTAGCAACTTGCAGCTTAAATGCCCAACCATCCAGCTGGGTGCTTGTATATATACAGTTTCCCTGGAAAACATCCATGTTTGTTCATTTATATGGTCTTTAGTTCCTTTCACAATACACAGGGAGAGTTGAATAGTTGAGACCCTAAAACCTATAAAGCCTAAAAACTTATGAGGTGGCTCTTTAGCAGCAATCAGCAAACTTTTTTCTGTAAACTAAGCTAACTTTCTTGGAAAATACTGAGTGAGCAACATTAAGATAATGCTGTATTTTTGGGTTATCTTCATAATTCTTAAATCGGAAAACTGAATATGGGCTAGAAAAATCATTAGAAAATATATCCATTTAATGAGCAGATCTGCTGTACACAAAATTCCCAGGAAAACAAAACAATGCAAATGTGGTAAAAGTTAACTAAAAGAATCCCAAATTATCACAAAGAGAACCAGTTTAAGTATTTAAGATTTATGCTCCTTGACAGAAAACACTGACATCTGGTGGAAAAAACTACCATAAACTACCGAACATAAAATATCTACTGACAGTAAATTACATTTGGTTCTAAAATAGTCACTAACACCTTTTTTTCCATAGGAAAAAAAGCTTTTAGTTATTATAAAATTAAAAATGACAATTCAAACCCTGAAATTGGTTACAAAAAACTGATAATTTTACTAGAGTCAGTATTAAATGAGACTTGGAATCCTTAACTCATTAGAAGTTAGGACCAATAATGCAATGACTAATTGACAGCAATGGTAAGTATATGTATTAGTAAATACTGCCTTATATGTAAATAGAAAATGAGTTACTGCCTAAATGTTAACTCTCTAAATTCATATCTCTTTAAAATTAGATAATATCATATGCCTCTCTGTAACTTCCTTATTAATTAGCATATGATCATGACTACATGAAATTTATTAGCGAAGCTATATGTGGGACATTTTAGTATGAAGTCATTATCCTAAAATTTACAAATGAAGAGAACCATATATCAATCCTAAAGAAAACAGAAAAAATTGCTAGTATTATCTTAGACGGAAATTAGTAAAAGGAATTTTTTCAATTATAGTTAGCTAAGGTGCCCAAGTGAGCTAATCTTGATCTGTCACAAGGCAAAAGAGTATTATCCTATCTTGCAGAAAATCCTATAACCCAACATCAAACTCTTGAGACAATTATATATTTATAATATATTTATATGTTATATATATTTTTAAATAAGACTTTAAGTTACCACTTACCAATTCTCAGGTTGGTAAAAATGAAAAGAAATGCTAATAATATCCAGGGTGAGCTATGGTGACAGCATATATACTAGGGCAGTTTTTTTGGTGGGCAAACTGGCAGCATCTATCAAAATGTAGAAGGAGTATATCTTCTGGATTCAGCAATTTCCTATTTAGGAATCTGTAGATTAAGTGTGTGCATAAAAGTATATGCACAAACATATTCACTGCTTACAACAGGAAAAGATAAAAAATTCAGAGTCGGAAATCTATGTGTAGCTATGGAAAGGTGTCACAACATCTGGCAAAAAGCAAAGGACAGGAAAAAAATGTGGGTATACAGTATGTTATTGCTGTACACAGAGTATTACTCCTTGGGTAATCTGCACTTTTTACTTGACTTGCTTTAAAAAGAGTGAGGAGTATGAAGAGTTAATTTTACTTTTTTTTTTTTTTGCCATTTTTACTGTATTTTCCAATTTTACCAAAACACATATATCCAAAAAATTGCAGTATTAGACAGAATCTAAGTTAAAAAAACAAAACCAACCACGGCATCTCACTTCTCAGATGTCAAAGTCCCTTACTACTGAAATACAGCACGTGAGCCGGGAACTACTAAAGCCTGAAGAACCCCATCATCTTACAATGTATCATAAAACTTGTCAGCACTTGAGAGAATTACCTTTTCTAAAAGCATTTCTCTTTCATTTTCTACCTCTTCGCTCCAAACAGTCATATCATTCTTAGTTTTCTGTGTTATAGTGAGAATCATTAGTTTGTTGGTGGCTCCTTCTGGAAACAGGGACTCAAAATCTATAAATAATAATTCCAGGGAGAAAGTAAGTCCTTTTTTTTAAAAAAAATTAAAAAAAGCAGTATATAAAAGTACTTCCTTAGAAAAATGATTAAATTATCGTGGTGCCAATAAATGCATACTGTTTTTAAAAAGGAATTTGAAGTGAACTTTTGGTTAACTTCTGCTCTTGCTAACTGAAATATTACCATTCTGAAGAGCAGTAAGGTTACTTGTTACTGATTTTGTAATTTTCAAAAAAAGTTTATTACAATTATGTATTCATTAAATTATAGTTATAATTATTACCTCAGGAGAAGAATGACTTCAGGGAAAAAATTATTAAAAAGTCTACTATTCCTGTCTAATGGCAGCATGAGGTCAGATGTCAGGGGACATTCGAAAGACCTTACCTTGGCCATGTAATCATTTCCAGGCAGACATATTAAAATATTTAATTACAAAGTATTATAATTCCTACGGAGTACATCATTTAACATATTAGAAAATTGGTGGCATTATCTAATACATGTAGTGTAAAAATGTTTGAAGTACACCATACCTCTTCGCAGCAATTCTGGACACATTTGGATCGCACACTCTACTTTGGCATTTTCAAAGTAAGTTTCTGCACTGCTGATTTCTTGTTCAACAGGTGCATTATTACCCTAAGAGGAATAAAAAGTATAAATAAAAGCTGGAGTTCAAATAAAATATTTGGTCTATTATAAACTTGTCTTCCTTGAGAAGTTTTTAGAAATAATCTTAGTTAACTGGCAATAGGGTAATAGTGTATACTCAAACTGTTCTCTATGATGAATAAAGAGGTGAAGATTTAAAAATTAACATATAAATATATTAATATTGTAATATGAATAGAAGTTGGCTAAGAAACTAAAATGCCATGATTATGTCCTACAATGTTACCTTTGATATTCTGGTATCTACTTATCCTTCCCTTGGTTCTGTAATCTGTGAAATGGGGATAATAGCACTAACTTACAAAATAACATGCTTAAATATATAGTCTCTCCTACAGGATGTGTTTAGAGGCTTTTATTCAACTGAAATTTACCGGGCACCTACTATATACATCAGACATCATAGCAAAAGCAGCCCCACAATAGTAAAAAAATCCAGTTTTCACTCTTAGGTTTAAAAGAGCTAATAGAAGAAAAATAGCATGAACAAATAAATGTAATCCAATGTGAAAAGTTCTATAGAATTAGAAAGTCTTTTCACAGTATAGATGGGGAAGAAACTTGCTTTGCTGAGGGAAATCAGAAAAAGGTTGAAATCCTATTTGAGCTACATGTGAGTTAATGTGTTTGGTTTGCAGAGAATAGGTAGAAAGGATTAGAAACTCAGGAGGAAAGAGAGTCCGGGAAGAGACAGAAACAATACAAGCACATGCAATGGTATGTACAAGGAGAATGGTACATTTAAAAACAAAAATAGGGTATGCTGTGATTAAGAGATCAAAACTATGGAAAGTCATTTATGCCACACTAAGAAATTTTGACTTTAGTCTATAAACAATGAAGAATAGCAAGATCAGATATAAAATGCTAATGCTAGTATTACTGTGCAAGCAATAGGACAATTAATAGCCAATATATACTGATCACAGTATATTTAAGTGTTTTAGGTACATTTTCACATTTTCTCATAGCGACTTTATGGTCACTAGGTATTATTATCCCCATTTTACTTATAAAGAAACGGGCTCAGAAATATTAAGTAGCTTTCTTAAGGCCACAAAATCAGGTAAAAGACAGAACTAACCTTTGAAATCAGATTCATCCTAGTTCCATAGTCCATCTCACTATAATGCCTCTAAGAATGGAGGAGAGATAGAGACCTTGAACTCTAGCTTTATTAGTGGAAACTGAAGGGACAACAAATAATTTAAAAGCTACTTCAGAGGTGGAAGCAATGCAATTTTGTCACTCTGTATAGGGATATGATGGAGAGAGGAGCCAAGTTTAGCAGTATGATCTTTATCTTGGGTCAGTGGGATAATGACTAAGTCACTTACACTGCTGATAACATGGGATTAAGGACACGTTTTGAGGTGGGGGCAGGAAGGGGGAACCTAAAGATGAGACACAAAAAAATCTAGGGAATTTTAAGACGTTCAGATAATGACATTTGGCAGGAAGATAGAGTTAGGAATTATAATTTATGGAGGAAGCCAGGGAATTAAGTGACCAAGGAGTTACTCAAAGAAGATGGATAGAAACACATGGGAAATAACATATAATTGGAAGACAGAGAGAAGGAGCCAAGAAGACTGAGAATTATGGGAGATAAAACGTTAGGGAAGGTCAACTGTCTCCAAATGTTAGGCTATCTGATATAAATCATAATTGTGAGGGCTGCTGCTACAAATATTATGGCTTTGATTAAAAAAAAAAACTCAGCCTGAAACTATTTAGAAATTCAGAAAATGGTAAGGATTAGGGGTTTGATAGAAACCAGTTAGGTGAGCATATCAGTTTATTTACCACTCCCCACTTCTAAAGTAAGCTCTATGCCCAACACAGGGCCTGAGCTCACAGACCCCTAATCAGGAGGATCATGTTTTACTAACTGAGCCAGCCAGGTACTCCTGCCATACCAGTTTAAAAACTCACTTAAAAAAACCCCACAAAAACAAAACTTATTTGTAAGTCTTTCTTTTTTATATTACTCTATCTGGAGAAGTTCAGAGATCTCAGTATTTTCTTGTTTTAAGTGCCCAGTGGAGCATAAAACTAGTTACCTGTTCCACAAAAAATTAGGATTATTGTTTATAAAAGTGAAAAAGAATCTAAATTTTTAGTAATATAGAAATTAAACTATATCTGAAATAAACAGCTATTAGACAATATATTTTTGAAGAACTATTTACCTAAAAGAGATTGTAATCTAAAGTAAAAAAGAAGGGGTGCCTGTGTGGCTTAGTCAGTTCAGTGTCTGCCTTTAGCTCAGGTCATGATCCCAGGGATCGAGCCCCACTTTTGGCTCCCTGCTCAGCGAGGAGTCTGCTTTTCCCTCTCCCTTGGCTTGTGTGTTCTCTCAAATAAAATCTTAAAAAGAAAATTATATAGCAAACATATATAGAACAATGCTAAGTTTTTAAAAGCCATATATGTTGTATATATTTTGAATTAAGATTTTTAAAAAACGTTTTCAAGTAATATGCTCAGAGTTATCAGAAATTGTTTTAGCAATAATCAGAAAACAGAATAAATGATATTTTTTTTTTTTTATTTTTTTAGATTTTATTTATTTATGATAGTCACACAGAGAGAGAGAGAGAGGCAGAGACACAGGCAGAGGGAGAAGCAGGCTCCATGCACTGGGAGCCCGACATGGGATTCGATCCCGGGTCTCCAGGATCGCGCCCTGGGCCAAAGGCAGGCGCCAAACCGCTGCGCCACCCAGGGATCCCCCAGAATAAATGATATTAACAATTTACCTGAAATTCATTCACATACTGTGCCATCACAAACTCGTGCCTTTCACTTGATAAAGGTTCTGCTAGAACATCAGGTAAAGTTTTATGAAGTTGGCTTTTCTTTTGTGATGTAGTCCCATTGAGATGACAATCAAAACCTATGTTCCCAGGAAGCTGGAATCTCTGATCCTGAGGTCCAAATGGTCCCATAGTTTCATCAGGCCATACTGTTCGAGAGCCTGAAAAGGAACAACAAAATGAATCTATTTTCTCCAACAGTCAAATGCATGGGTGGACTAAAAGAATATTTTTTTTCTAATTAGGTATTTTTATTTTTATAAACCCAACAGATCAACGTAGCCAGTTTTCAGTTTATAGACAAGACCATTATAAGAAAAAGGATATAATAAAGTACAGTAATCCATACTATGTAATACCTGGTAGTTATTAAAAAGAATATAGTAAATTTTGGAAAGAACCTAGGAAGACAGCAGAGTAGAAGGATTCTAAGCTCTCCTCTTTAATACAGAGATACCTTGATTAACAGACATATCAGTGCAACTAACCCAGGAAGTCTTTGGGTTACTCACAGAGAAGAAGCCAATCAAGATAGAAGAGGCAGAGACGCAGTTGGAAACCAAACTACCCAGTGAGACTAACCACAAATAGGAAGGACAAACACAGAGAAGGAAGAGGAAAAGACCCCACAGGAGGTACCCCTGACATAGGGAACTCCCCGGAGAAAGTAAGTCCCCATAACATCTGGCTTTGAAAATCAGTGTGGCTTAACTTCAAAAGTTTTTAGTTAGTGCGTTTAGCTCTGGGAGAGCTGGAGAGTGATAGGAAACTGAGTTTCCATCCTCAAAGAGAGAGTGTGTAACTAACAATCTCACCTAGATACAGCACAGAAGCAAAAGTTTGAAAAGTGCCTGGGATATATACATGAAGGTGATTTATTTATTTTTTTTAATTAATCTCAATGTGTGCTGAAAAGAACCTGTGCTGGAGAAGCAAGGATCTGTAAGAAACTTCTCCAAGAGTATTTTCTCCATCCCATCTCAGCCTAGATACCCACACATTTGTGCATCCAACGGGAATACTCTCCATATAGTTTGCTTAACACTGTGCACCCAACCTTACATTGTCCTGTTGATTCAATCCATTCAAGCAGCCCCGACAATCAATACCATCACTCCAAGATAACTTGCCCTGCGGAGTGGGAAGATAACCAACCATACATGCAAGTCTGACTGCAGTACCAGCAGACTGACTTGCAGACATCTGATTTCTGATCTCTTGGCCCCACTAATCAACAAAGACTCTCACGTGATACACTTTTATGCAACTGCAGCCCCAGCTAATGGGCTGAAAAGCAGGCATCTAGACTGATTACTGATACTACCCAACTGTAAGCCCTTCCCTGCCCCATGGGCCCTTAACAGTACAAGGACCAAACCCTGCCCACAACAAGCAAAGTGAACATTTGTAGTTGACTAGATTGAAGGCAAATGTGACTGAGCCACAATAGTACAGTGTGCAAAACTCCTATCAAAGTCACCCCTAAGGTGCCTGGTTCTGAAGAAGAGTGGAAAGTGTGCTACAGGGCACCACAGGACCTCTTCTTCGTAAGGCCACTCCTTTCAAGATCAAAAGATATATCTTACTTTCCAGATAAATACAAAAAAAAAACCACAAACAAAATAAGGAGACAAAGGAGTATGTCCTAAATGAAAGAGCAGGACAATACCATGCAAAAGAGCTAAATGAAATGGAGACAAGCAATATGCCTGATAAAGATTTCAAAGTAATGCTCATAACTATACTTACTGGACTTGACAAAAGAGTGGAGGATCTTAGTGAGAACTTCAACAAAGAGACAGAAAATATAAAAAGAACCAGTCAGAGATGAACTCAATGACTGAAATAAAAAATAAACTACAAGCAATGAATGGAACATTTGAAGAGGCAGAGAAGAATAGATCAGGGACTGGGAAGACAGGGTAATAGAAAGTGACCAAGCTGAACAGGAAATGAAAAAGGGAACTCAGCCATACCACAAGCGTAAAAACAGTCATATTATAGAGATCCCAGAAAAGGGGGCAGAAAATTTATTTGAAGAAATAATAGCTGAAAACTTTCTAAACCTGAGGCAGGAAATACATTCCCAGATATGAGATAGAGATAGCAGTCACATACAAGGGAAATTCCATAAGGCTATCGGCTGATATCCAAACGCTGAAAAGAAAAAACCTGCAACTAAGAATACTCTATCCAGCATGGCTGTCATTAAGAACAGAAGGAGTAATAAAGATTTCCCAGCCAAACAAGTAAAAAGAGTTCATCACCATTAAACTACCCTTACAAATAACATTAAAGAGAATTCTCTGAGTGGAAAGAAATCGCCATAACAAAGAAAGAAAATTAGGAAAAAATATTACAGGTAAATACAAAATAAAAGTAGATTAATATAAAACCAGTATGGAGGTAAAAACATAAAGGCAGTAATATCAATTATATCTATAAAAATCATAGAGAATCAGAAAATAAAAGGACGTCAAGTATGGTATCATTTACATAAAATGTGGAGGTGGGTAAAAACTTAGGGCTTTTAGAATGGACTCAAACATAAGTGGCCATCAACTTCATACAGATTGCTACTGCTTAAGATGCTATATATGAACCTAATGGGAACCACAAATCAACTACCTATAATAGATATGCTTGGATTTCTTTCTTTTTATTTTTTCACATAAACCACCAGAGAGCAAGAGAAGGAATAGAGAACTACAAAAACAATAATAAAACAAGTAACAAATGGTACTAAGTACCTGCTAATCATTAATTACTTTGAATGTAAGTGAACTAATTTTCCAATCAAATCAGTAGGAAGTGACTGAATGGATTAAAAGACCCACCTTTATTCAGCCTTTAGAGACTTGCTTTGGACCTAAAGACACATGCAGATTTAAAGTGAAGGGATGGAAAACTGTAACCATGCAAATGGAAGTGAAAAAAAGCTAGGGTAATAATACACATCAAATAAAACAGAGACTGTAAAGACAAAGAAGGACACTACCTACAATAAATAAGGGGAACAGTCTGACAAGAGAACGTAACAAACTAAATACTTTTGCACCCAACATGGGGGCATCTATATACATAAAACCATTAACAAGACAACGAAGACCTTGACAATAGTACAAAAGTAGAGGATGTTAACACCTACTTACGTCAATAGATAGATGAACCAGACAAAAATCAACAAAGAAACACTTTTGAATGACACATTGCAACAGATGGACCTAACCTATATTCTGAACATTCCATTAAAAACAGAATACACATTCTTTTCAGGTGCACATGGAACATTCTCCAGGACAGATATGTTAGGCCACAAAACAAGTCTCAATAAATTCAAATCGACTGCAGTCATATCATGTATCTTTTCTGACTACAAAGGTTTAAAACTGGAAATGAATCACAGAAAGAAATGTGGAAAGAACACAGATACAGGGGGCACCTGGATGGCTCACTTAGTTAACCCTCTGCCTTCTGCTCAGATCATGATTCAGGGTTCTGGGATCAAGCCCCAAGTCAGGCTCCCTCTCAGCGAGGCCTGTGCTTTTCCTTTTCCCTCTTTTCCAGCTTGTGCACTCTCTCAAATAAATTAAATCTTTGAAAAAACAAACACCACACAAATACAATCAGGCTAAATAACATGTTATTAAACCTTGAATGCACCTACCAAGGTATCAAAGAGGAAATAAAATATATAAGGGGAAAAATAAAAATGAAAACATAATGGTCCAGAATCTCTGCAATGTGGTAATAGCTCTTAAATATTATAGCAATATAGGCATAACTAAAGCAACAAGAAAGATCTCTAGTAAACAACCTAACCGTATTATCTAAAGGAGCTAAGAAAAAAAAAAAAAAACCAACAAAAAAACATGCAAAAACAAGAGAAAAGGAAATAATGAAGATTAGTGCAGAAATAATTAAAATGGAGAACCCCCCAAAAGACAACCCACAACTGGTCAATGAAACCATGACCCAGTTCCTTGAAAAGCTCAACAAAACTGAACTACCTTTAGACTGATTCACCAAAGGAGAGAAAACTAAAAACCATAAATAAAAGAGAAATAACAACTGACATCACAAATATACCAAAGATAGTTAGAAAATATTGTGTAAAATTATATGCCAACAAAGAACATAGCAGAAATGAACAAATTCCTAGAAAGCTAAAACTTTCCAAAACTGAATCATGAATAGAAAGTTTAAACAGACTAATTGCTAGCAATGACACTGAGTAAGTAGTCAAAAAATTCCTAACACAAAGTCTAGGATCAGGTATCTTCACCCATGAATTCTACCAAACATATGAAGAAGAGTTACTATATATTGTTCTTGAAAATCACAAAATACAGACCATGAAAGCAGCTTGCAAATTCATTCCAGCAGGCCAAGATTACTGTTACCAAAACCAGCTGGAGATACTAAAAATAAAAAGGTATGCACCAAAATCTAAGATCCTGAACAAAGTACTATCAAAACAAATACAAATATATAGCAAGAAAATCATTTACAGGGTACCTGGGTGGCTGAGCTGGTTAAAAGCACCTTACTCTCAATTTTGGCTCAGATCAGGATCTTAGGGTCATGAGATTAGGCCCTGAATTGGGCTCCACATTGAATGAGGAGACTGCTTAAGATTCTTCCTTGGGGCACCTGGGTGGCTCAGTCAGTTAAGGGTCTACCTTTGGCTTAAGTCATGATCTTGGGGTCCTCGGATTTTGCCCCCTGGCTGACTCCCTCCTGCTCAGTGGGGAGTCTACTTCTGCCTCTCCCTGTCTCTTCCCCTCAATTCCCCAATCCGTTTATGTGCTCTTAATAAAATCTTAAAAAAAAAAAAAATTCTTTCTCTCCCTCTCCCTGCTTACACACTCTTGCTCTCAAATAAATAAATCTAAAAAAAAAAATCACTCAAAATGATCAAGTGTGATTTATTCTAGGTATACAAGGGTGGTTCAGTACATGCAAAAAGTGTTAAGTGTTAAGTGATATTGTCACTTTAAGGACAAAAACCATATGATCATTTGGACACAAAATAGAATTTGAAAGAGTACATCATTCACCATGAAAAAACTCTCAACAAAGTATGATAAAGGTTAAATGTCAAAAATCCACAGCTAACTTCATTCTCCATGGTGAAAAGCAGAGCTTTCCCTCTAAGATC